GAAGGGGGCAAGGGAAAGGGGAAAGACCAGGTGTGGAGAATCGAGGGTGAACTGGAAACCGGATTACCCACAAGCTCCACAAAGTCCTCCGTGAAGGGGAAGTTGCCACGTGCAATAATGTAGGAAATGACTTCCAGCAACCCCTAAACTCCTTGAGAGTTAGAACCACACTGTAGCATCTGAGATGTTCTGCGCTGAGGAAGAGTTTTTAAAACGGTTCCCATGAATTTGTCTTCAGGACAGTTCCCTCATCAGTCACACCGATTAACACACTCTTCAGGGAACTTAATTGGAAGGACGGGATCCAGGTGGCAGATCCCGTCCCTCCCGTTTGTCCCTCTTGTCACACCCTCCCCCCCACCCCCCCGCGTCCCCGAAAGAAAATCTCTATCTGCCCCTCCCCCATCTGCTATCCTTCACAGTGAATTTACGGTGGACTAGGGGACTGCTGTGGACCGAGTGTGAGGGACAAAATAGGCTGGAGACGGGCCAGGTGGATAGCTGGTGTGTCTAGACAGGGCAGTCTCCCTGCTGGGTGGGGTACGGGTGTCAGGGCCAGAGACCCCCCGGGCCCGTCTGCTTGGGAAGTGAGGTCAAGAGGGCCAGCTGCCTAGTGAGGCAGTCGCCTTCTGTCTGCAGGTAAAGGAAGAGTGCCGCCTCCTCCACGCCCCTCCCGTGCCCCCTCGGGGGGGCAGCAGCTGCAGCAGGCTCCCAGGCAGCCCCCCAGTGCCGCCCCGGTTCCCTAAGCTGCAGCCGCCGGGCCACTCGCCCAGCCCCAGCCTCTCCTTTTATTCCTCTGGCCTGCAGGATGGGTGAGTCACGGCCTCGGTCCCTGGCTTTGCTCAAATGCACAGTGTGGTGGGGGGGTTGATCATTCTGTGCAGGGATTCTGCTGCAGGAAAAGCACTGGTTTTCTTTCTTAATTTCTCTCTCTCTCTCTCTCTCTCTCTCTCTCTCTCTCTCTCTCTCTATTTATTGATTTTATTTTATGTGTATGAGTGTTTTGTCGGCATGTATGTATGGAGGTCAGAAGAGGGCATCAGATCCCCGGAACTGGAATTATGGATGGTTATGAGCCATTCCCAGTGGGTGCTGGGAATTGAACCTGGGTCCTCAGCAAGAGCAACAAGTGCTCTTAACCACTGAGCCCCCCCATCCTCAGCCTCGAGATCATCTGTTTTCCAATTTGTACTTCCTCCGTTTGATTTCCCCTGCCTGTTCTGACATGGCTTGGGGATTCAAGAGGGTCTCAGGCTTTGGGGTTAGCAGGCTGGCCAGCTCCGGGGAGGGTAGAGGGATAAGTCTCCTGGCGAGGGCTGTGCGGTCCTATGACTGTCACTTCCCCCTCTCTCTGCCTTATGTGTCCACCCCGTGTGTCTGTCTCCCTTACAGGGCAGGCTCCCGCAGTGGCAGCGGCTCCCCGTCCCCCGATGCCTACTCCCTCTATTGCTATCCTTGCGCCTGGGGAGACTGCAAAGCCAGCGAGTCCTCTAGTCGCCCGCCCCCCGGACCCATGCCGTCTACCACCACTCAACCCAGCCAGGCCTCAAGAGCCCTAGCGGAGCCCCTGAGTGGTCGAACCACCTCCCTCTTAGGGGCCGACAGCCCAGTGGTTAAGAACTACCATGGCTGTCCACCTCTGTTCAAGCCCTCCCATCCCCAGAAGCGCTTTGCCCCCTTTGGTGCCCTCAACCCCTTCTCTGGGCCTGCCCATCCTTCAGGCGCTCCAGCGGCCTCCTCTTCTGGGTCCATGTCCACCTCGGGTGCCCTGGCTACCTCCAGCCCCACGCATTCCCCAGGCCCAGGCCCTCAGGGCCAAGGTTACTCAGCGGCTCTCTCCTCCTCCTTGTCATCCTCTGAGTGGCAGGAGCCAGCGCCGGAGCCCCTGGACCCATTTGAGTTGGGGCAGGCCAGTCCTCCTGAGCTGGAGCTGCTGCGCTGTCAGGAGCCCAGAGCTGTGGGGGCACCTGGGTCTGGACCCTGCCTTTCACCGATTGGTCCTCCCAAGGCCTTTGAGCCGGAAGGTTTGGTGCTGAGGCAGGTCCCCGCCTCCTTGTCACCAGCTGCCTTGCAGGGACCCGAGGCAGGAGGACCCCTACTCTTTCTCACCCAAGGGGTCCTGGAAGGACCTCCTGGCAGTCCCCGGGAGGGGACCACGGGTGGCGCTGGAGTCCGGGATGCCGTCTCCTGGCAACCACCAGCAGACTTGTCGGCACTCTCCCTGGAAGAAGTCTCTCGCAGTCTGCGCTTCATTGGGCTCTCGGAGGACGTGGTGAGCTTCTTTGCCCGAGAACGCATCGATGGGAGCATCTTCGTGCAGCTCAGTGAAGACATCTTGGCTGATGACTTCCGTCTCACCAAGCTTCAGGTCAAGAAGATCATGCAGTTCATCAAAGGCTGGAGACCCAAGATCTGAACTGTCCGCCCAGCGGCTGCACAGCCTGAATGCTGGGAGCAGAGGCCATGGGGTCTGCCAGAGACAGCGCTCCCAGGGGTCCTTCCTGCAGGGAGAGTCTGGGCCCACTGAGGCTGCTCTGTAGCTGAGTGTGCCAGGGGAGGCACACACACTGGGGACTGTGGCCCTCCGGGGCCAGGTGCTCAGGAGCATGTCTTGACTTTGTGAAGAATACTTGGGGAGGAGGCGCCGCTCTGCGCCTGGGGAGGCTTCTGCTGCCATTCCCGGAGCGGGGGGGGAAAAGGTGGTGTGTATGCCAACCCGGGGCTGTATGGTGGCGGGATGCCTTCCTGTGCCCCGCTGTAGGTAGCCTTTCAGACACCACACACTTCTCCGCCCTTCATGGTCAGGTTAGAGAGCGAAGGAAGATGGGCTCAGAACTTAAGTATAGTTTTCCCAAAGGGCCCTCTCCTTCACACTCTGGGCTTTGGCCTGCAGCGGCTCCAGAGTGAGGGGTGTGGCTTCTGTCTCTGAGGTACCCTCTTTCTGTCTGCTCCCATGATGAGGCCCTTGACCCTGGGCCCTGTGCCCAGCCCCTGCTTTGGGCTTGGCTGTGACGTCATCACGGCTGGCGATCGTGCGGTTCTCCATGGGGTGGTCCGAGGGCAGTTCCTGGGGGAGAGTGTCCAGACGTAGGCCAGCTACTCTTTGGTTCTAGAAACAACTAGTGGTCAGGTCCCCGCCACCCTGCCCGTCACTTGGGTTCCTCCTTGGTTTTGTCACTGGTACAGGACAGCGGGGCTGGTAAAGGGAGGCCAAGTTGCTTGCTCCTGAGCCCGGCCCCTGTACTTACACGGTTTGGAGACGATCTCTGGGCCCTTCGGTCCCAAGTGTGCTGATCCGTGTGCCGGCTCGAGGCCCGGCTAATGTACAAACCCCACCCCGGTTCTTCCCCAGTACCTCTAACAAGAACTACATCCCTCCTCCGGCGATGGGGGCTGGGGGTGGGGCAGAGGTGGCCGTTTTCTTGTCTGTCTTCCCTGACCTACCTAGATATTTATTTCTTGGGGTTTCTTTATGAAGAGTTGAGGCCTGCCCACACCTGTGCCTGTGGGAGGGGAACTCGGGAACTGATACCACGCTGCTTGTCTTCTCACAATGGACCAATCCTCAAGGATTAGGAAATAAAGCCTAGACCACAGACTAAAAAGTGCGGGACCCTGGGTGTTGGTGGCTTCTTCTTCTTCTTCTTTTTTTTTTTTTTTTGTGGAGGGCCATGAAGACCAAGGGCACAGTATGTTCGTCTCTGAGCAGGGGAGGACTTTGGAATAGTGTGTGTATGTAGCTCTTAATCCCTAGATACACACAACAACGTCTTCAAGTCTGTAAAACTGCACCCTTCCGCAAGAATCTTTAATCTCTAGTAATTTCTTTTTAAATTTTATGTGCATTGGTGTTTTGCCTGCATGTGAGTCTGTGTGAGGGTGTCAGATCTTGGAGTTACAGACCATTGTGAGCTGCCATCTGGGTGCTGGGAATTGAACCCTGGTCCTCTGGAAGAATAGTCAGTGCTCTTAACCACTGAGCCATCTCTCTAGCAACCCTCCTCCCCTTTTTGTTCAAGACAGGGTGTAGCCTTGGCTGGCCTGGGACTCACTTCGTAGACCAGGCTGGCCTCGAACTCAGAGATCCACCTGCCTCTGCCTCGCCACCTTGAGTCTTAAGTAGTTCTTCCTGCTTAGAGGGAAGAACCAGAAGTCAGAGCTCAGTGCCATTGAGGGTCCCCTGAGACACCCCGAGTCCCACAGTAGACACCTCGTCTTGGCCTTTGTGCACAGGATCAGTTCTTTACCTTCTGGCCATTTGCAAGTCCAGTTGAGATGACTCAACTTTAGAGTTGGTCTTCCTAGTGAACTGCATTGCCCTGTGGAGCCCGAGATGAGCTCCCCTTACAAGCAGGGCAGAGGCAGGGGTCAGAGCACCATCTGGGTTTAGAAGGCAAAGTGTGGTGGGACCTGAATCAGGATTCCATAAACCCAGTGACTCAGTGGGACTCAGTTAGGAGCCCAGCACTGCTTATACAACTAGGCCCTGACCCCAGAATTAGAGTGAGAACTTTACCACCAGGGGTGGGGTGGGACGAACCGAGGCCACACAAGTGAGGTGGGGCTGATCTGCAGGCACCCATCTTCCTCAGCTTTGCAGGATTCCAAAGCTCCGGCAAATGGTACGTCCTCTGCATAACTCTGTCCCACAAACCCGAGAAGCCAGGGCTGAGGCATGCCGAGCAAAAAAACTGCCTTCAATGACAGTGAGAGATGAGTCTGGGGTAAGAAGCATCTTCCGTATCCTGGTACACCATGCCCCTCTGTTCCTACCGCTCCGGCCGACCAGGGCTGCAACTGTACCGTAGGCAGCCCAGCCAAGGCACTCAGGCAGTCAGCTTAAGGCACGGGCACAGGAAGTCCGTTTTCTGGCCTCACGATCCCCTCCCTCTCAGGCAGCTGCCTCGACCTCCCCACGGTTCTGCTCCACAGCACAGCGCCTCGTTACTGAAGGGGGTGCTTACACAGAAGGGCAGACAGGAGAACAGAGCAGGCAGGCAGAGGCAACAGTCTGGATTTTATTATTACCCTGTGTTTGGCTGGGTACAGAATGCCCTCCCCACGGCCAGTCCCCACTGGCCTCCTGGGGGCACAGGCAGCAGGCGTTCCGGGTTACCCCAGCTGCTGCTCTGGGCCTCAGGCAGGCTGTAAAAGGAACACAGTGGGCTCACCCTCCAGCCTGAAGCACAGACTGAATCCAGTCCGACTTCAGCAGGAGGAAGGGCTGGTCAGGGCTGAAGGCACTGTGCGGGGGAGCAAACCCAAGACCAGACCCGGGCTCTCTCCTGCTTCCTGAAAATCTAGACAGCACAGCTGAGAAGTGGCACCAGGTCTGGGTTAGTGCATGGACGGGGCAGGCTGGGGGCCTGCTCACTGGTAGAACTTCTTGCTGGAGCTATTAGCGTGGTCGAGGAGCAGCTGGCATGGGGTAAACTGTATTCCATAGGCAGACTCGTACTTCCGGAGCCGGTCCACCACCTTCTGAGCGCCATACAGATCCACAAAGCGGAAGGGCCCTGAGCAGAGACAGGACTTCAGTGAAAGCAACAGTAACAAGCACAGGGTAAAGGAGGTTGGCTTCCCAACCTGCACACTGACCTCCCAGACAAGGGGGAAAGCCAAGCCCGAACACGGCTCCGATGTCTCCTTCTGCAGGGGTGGCCAGGATCCCTTCCTGTAGGCACAGGACGGCCTCATTCACGAACCTGGTTATCACGCGGTACTGGATGTCTTCGTCCGAGGAGCTGAGGAGGAGAAGGAACAGGAAGGAACATTTAGCTAGAGAAAATGGGGGGAGCTGGAGGGCAGCGTGTGGGGTGGAGGGAGTCCTGGGGAGCCCAGCACCCAGGATGGACCACAGCGTCCTGAAAGATGACCTAGCCTTTCTCTTGGAAAAAGGGGTGGGACTTTCCCTAACAGTTGTGAACCTAAGCACCCAAGACGGCCTGGCACAGAGGAGGCTCAATCACCGTTCCTGACAGATCAGTAACAACAGTGTGTTCCCAAAGGTAACAGAGCAAGGGGGGCGGGGGTGGGGCCTACACAATCCACCTCCCAACTTCACAGGCAGCTGAAGGCTTGCAGCCAGGCGGTGATGGCACACACCTCTAATCCAGCACTCGGGAGGCTGAGCCAGGCAGATCTCTGTGAGTTCGAGGCCAGCCTGGTCTACAGAGCAAGATTCAGGACAGGCACCAAAACTACAAAGAAATCGTGTCTCGAAAAACGAAAACCAAACAACAACAACAACAACAACAAAACCCAGGCAAGGCTTGCCCTGGCTTGGCCCGCTCTCACCTGGGTACCTGCAGCTGAGGACACATGCAGGGTTTTAGCTGTAGGGTTTTGCCAGCTTTGGCTCATAAAGAGAACAGAAAAGGGGCTGAAGAACGTTAGGCACAGTTCTGTGCGAACAGTCACTCAAAGCCACTTACACCTCAGGCTTGGCAGGCAGCCTCAGGTTCTCCAGGATCTTATCCATTTCAGAATTCAGGCTCTTATTCTTTGAGCCCTCCTGGTAGATGTAAAAGCCCTTCCCAGACTTGCGACCTAAGGGAAGAGAGAGACTGCATCCGTCACTGCCCTTCACCCTAGCTGAGAACTGTCTGCTGGATGCTGTGGGTTTCTAGCATTCTGTGCACTCCTAAATGCCTGTGTCTAGACGCCTGAGCCATTTAGTCCTTGATGACTGGCAGAGAAGAGAGGAAGCCCTCGGTGCATGCAAGTCTGAGTCTGAACAGGAAAGTCCACACTCCCCACCCCCACACTAGTGTCCACACACGAGGTCCAGGCCTTAGCAGTGATTTTCCCGCAGCCTTCCTTGTATGTTCTGAACGCAAAGACTGAACTCCCCACAGGAGGCCAGACCACAGGCTCAAGCCCGGACACAGGACTTGCTCCTGTGGTCAGCCCTTGGCAGGAGGAAGATGCTGATCTATCTATCAGGCATACATGGCCGAGTCCCCTAAGCCTAGAGGCCGCCTTTCCCCCTGATCTCCACGCCCAGCCTAAGAGATTCCCTCTGTGCAGGGCTCTGTGTCTAGGGGACTCTCCCCCACTCTCTGCTCTCGGCAGCTGCTCAGAACTGCACACAGCATTACTCACGCCTCCTGCGGCCCCTCACCCAAGAAGCCCTTGGAGACCATCTGCTTCAGCAGCTCTACACTGCCGCCTCCAAACCGCTCCCCAAAGGCCTTGCCGAGGTCTTCAGCGACGTGCTGCGCCACATCCACACCAACTTCATCTGCGAGGGTGGCGGCACCCACGGGAAAGCCGAAGCCTGTGGTCAAGGCGTCCAGCTTCTTAGGGTCAACCCCTTCCTGGACGGGAAGGAAAGCAGGAGCCTCAGAGCACAGCCATCTCCTCCCCCAGCAGAAGGGCTGCCTGTAACGACCCACAGACATGGCCTTGTGCAAAGCCCACTTCTTTTCTTGGACATCACCTGGCCAGGTCCCGAACCAGCGCTTCATCCAAGAAAAGTCTAAGTGGAAGCCCTGAAGCTTTCCCACAGCACTTGAAGGAAGCGTCGGGATGACCAGATCACTCAGTTCTTGCTTGTGATGATGCTGGGACTAAGGAGATGCCATGGCTGCCAGGACTGAGAATATGCTGGCATTCTGAGGCTAGGGAAGTGCCCAGTGAAGAGGCGCCTCTTTGCCATGGAATGATCTGGATGGCCATGGAGGGGTGTGTGTGTGTGTGTGTGTGTGTGTGTGTGTGTGTGTGTGAGAAGCAGAAGCAGATCCAGTGGTAGTCAGGCCACGCAGGGTCTGGTCTAAAGGTCCTCACGCAGGGATACAGAAGCAGTGTGTCTGAGTGTTCTGGGAGGCCTCTGGCTCCTGCAATGCTCAGGAAACTAACAGAGCAGGGTTAACGTTCTACCTACCGGGCAGTCTCAGCCCCAAGATGCCTGTTCCAGTGTGGGAGGGAGGCACAAAAGGGCCTCCAGGGAAAAGCAGGAGTATATTCTGGGGGAGACTGTCCCTCATCTGGACATCTTCAGCTTGGAGGACAGAGTGAAAGATCTGACAAGGCTTCATCCATTCCACAGAACAAGACCCACCTGGAGGATTCGCATGACTTCAGACATCATGGGAGCAAGACACCTGGTGGTGTAGAAGCCGGGGCCGTCCTGCCAAGGGAGAGGAAGAGAGCTCACGGCCGGTCCTGCTTTGGTTGAATCACTCATGCCCACACCCAGTCTCCCCTTCCCAGACTTCGTTTCACCGTTTCAGCTGACTTAACTCTCCTCAGAATGCTCAGTGCTGAGCAGGAGAGGAAGCCATCCTGGACAGTCTGGGTTTCATGTAACCTCTGAGGTCTGGAATCCCTGGTGAAGCCCTGCCAGGGCCTAGACACTACCGCACCCACCCACCTCAGTGGGGCAGTCACTACTACTGTCATTTGGGAGACAACCCAGGGGTCAGTGTTCCAGAGCTGGCATTTCCCCCCAGAACAGCCAGACACAATTCTGGAGGCACAGGAAATCTTTTTAGAACATCCCCAAATCTGCCCCTACTCCCATGGCTCACCTTCACCACAATGATGACCTTGCCCTGCTTGAGACCCACGGCCACGGCCGAGGCTGTTGTGTCCTTGGAGGTTCTGTCGGTCGTGATGATTTCCAGAAGCTGCATCTTGTCCACAGGAGAGAAGTAGTGCATGCCAATCACCTGGTGAGGGGAGCCACAACCACAGATTACCAGTGCTGATGGGAGAACCCGACAGCACCTTGTTCGCTAGGGAGACACTGGAGAGACAGGTCTGTGGCCAGGAACACTGCTGATCTAGTCCAGAGGCTTGAGTCTGTGGTCTCATAATCAGCAGCTACCTGTCCCTGATCCTTCCTTCTCCCGCCATCCCTGAGCCCGCCTCTATCAGGTCCATCACATCCCCTTGACCCTGCTGTGTGCTAGGAGAGTAGACTGTTGTTCACACACACACTGCACAAGGAGGAAGAAACAGGCTTGTGTGGTGTGGAGACACGGACTTATATTAGCAACTCTAGCTGTTAGAGTTTTTTTTTTTTTTTTTTTTTTTGGTATTTCTGGTCTCTCTGGCTGGTCAGTTGAAGCCACTGGTATCCTCCTGAGAAATGAGGCATTTTATTTCTCTTTGAATGGCTACATTCTTCCTTAATTAATCCACTTAAGCGAAGATAACTTTCTAGGCAGCGTTCCAAATACTCAGTGACAGTCCTTCCAAATCTAGAACTTTCCTGTCCTGGGTAGGAGGTCCAGGGTAAGGCTGTGGGTCCCCCAGCCCTGACCGTCCATTCCTGCAGCTGGAGCCTTACCCAGCCTAAGCAGTTACCATACCGCACTACGGCCAAACTGCACACCGCTTCTTGGTTTAGGGCCTATCCTTTAATGCCTAATTCTAAGTTAAAGTAAGTTGAATAGTTTAAACTTGAAAAATAGCCACCAGGGGGACACACAGCAGCCACTAAGTGTATTTAGTTGTAATCCACCAATTCCTACACCTGTAGATCATGGCATTCAGTTTTCGGTGCCCATTTCTTGGGAACTGCCCCCAACCATCTCACAGTCTATCCTGGTCCTTTCCCTGGCTGTATTCTGAAATTTCCATCAGTGAGTCTGAAGCAGTCGTCATGAGGACTTTCTGTCCAGGTCACCTTCTCAGGTCTTTTGCTGACAGAAGCAATCTGATTGATTGGGAGAGCAGATGTGTTGCTGGCAAAGATACAGTGCTCTGGAGTCACCTGCAAGAGGAAAGCATTTAAGAACTGGTCAGGTAGGCCTGGAGATGACAGAGTCCACAGCACACCAGAGTGACACTCGGCCCAGTAGACTCTCTCATCCGCACATGCTCACAGCACAGACGCAACTCACCTGACATTGTGAGTCACCTAAAAGCTTTCACGTTGACCTTGTTCTCTTCTCCTCTAGAGATGGCCTGCCCTGCCCTAGAGACGACATCTCAGCACTTGGGTAAACATGGTGCCTTTGGTGATGCCAAAAGGATGACTGGAATTACGTTTCCTTAAAGGTGGGCACAGGTGTCCACCCCCTTGTTATCGGGATGTGCTCTCAAGTCTGGAAGATTACATTCCCTAGCCCTGCTCACCTTTAATACGGCACAAAGTGTAGACTTACTTGATTCTAACAGTGCCACTGAAGAGCAGTGTGCACTGCGAATGTGCCTGCAGCACACAGACACTGTCACTGTTAGCTTCACCAGCCTGACTCTGCATTGTCCCTAACACGGAATGTTCAGCATTCTGTCTATGATCTCAACTTATTCACCTTGTGTGACACTTGGATGAAAAATATGGAAGGCATCTCTGTTAAATTTACACAAATCTAGCCGGGCGTTGATGGTGCACACCTTTAGTCCCAGCACTCAGGAGGCAGAGCCAGGCGGATCTCTGTGAGTTCGAGGCCAGCCTGGTCTACAGAGTGAGTTCTAGGAAAGGCATCAAAGCCACACAGAGAAACCCGTCTCAAAAAACCAATAAAATACAATTTTTTTTTACACAAATCTGAAAGAAAAAAGCCAGGCAGTGGTGGTGCACACCTTTAATCCCAGCTCTCAGGAGGCAGAGGCAGGTAGATCTCTGAATTTGAGACCAGTCTGATCTGCAGAGTGAATTCCAGGACAGCCAGGGCTACATAGTGAAACCATGTCTTAGAGGAAAAAATGTGCACAAATCTGGCATAGACAGAAGCAAATACTAGATGAGAATCAAGGTTGAAGATACGATTAACACACTGAAAAGTGGAGTGCAAAATGATAATTATGACAGATAAAGGTGAATCATTAAGGTTAAAAATAACAACAAAACAAACCAAGAAGTGTACAGGCATTAGATAGACAAAGCCTGGCTTGTGAGGAAGACCCTATGATTTGGTTGTTTTTTTTTTTTTTTTTTTTTTTAGACAGGGTTTATCTGTGTAGCCCTGGATGTCCTAGAACTCGCTCTGTAGACCAGGCTGGTCTTGAACTCATAGAGATCCACCTGCCTCTGCCTCCCGAGTGCCGGGATTAAAGATGTGCACCACCACCAGGCTGATCCTATGATTTTAACCAACTAGAGCAGAATGTGAGTGGACAGTGTGTCATGACCATGAGAGTGAACATAGTCTTTGAGCCATCAAGGCTGAGGGAGAAGTCCTCTTAGGGCTAGAGGACAGTAGATAGTAGATAAGAGTGCTCGCCTAGCATCCATGAAGCCCTGGGCTGGGTCCCCAGCACCACATAAAATGGACACAGTGCTGTATGCCCATAATCCTAGCACTTGGAAAATAGAGGCAGAGGGATCTGAAATTCAAGGTCATCTACAGCTACATAGCAAGTTCATGGCCAGCCTAGGAGACAGGTGTGTGTGTGTGTGTGTGTGTGTGTGTGTGTGTGTGTGTGTGTGTGTGTGTGTTTGTGTGTGTTCTACTCTAGGAAGAGCAAATCATTATCTCCAAAGATGGCTGACAGCAATCTCCTCGCTCCTTGGCCCCACATGCCTTTCTTCCCATACAGAGGGAGTCTGTTTCCCATGCTCTCAACCAGGGATGGCTCTGATTTGCTTTTTACCAACAGAAGCATGGCTGCTGGTCTCAGGCCTCTCTGCAGTTCTGCAGCTACCACTTTGGCTCTTGGAGGCCCTTGCTGTGGAGAAGTTCTAGCCGTGGGAGGAGGCAGGCCATGGGGTAGGCACTGGGCTCCAGCCAGGCTGCCACCTGACAGCACTCCCGCCACCTGACGGCACGACCCCAAGTGACACCAGCCCTGAAGCCCACACTGCAGAACTGTGAAGACAGGAGTTGTTCAAGAGACGTTCCTCGACAATGTACACACTAGTGATGGAGACAGCAGGACAGGGAAGCGTCTAGAAACTGTCCCAAGAAGCACGTCAGGACCCAGTCCGTTCAGTTCTGTGGTGGGTAAGGGAGGACAACTTGAAACTGAACCCCAGTAGACTCAGACTGAAATTTTCTAAAACCAGCCAAGGCCGGTGAGAGGACAGGCGTGCTGCGGACTTCCCTTTTTAAGATTGACTGACTGATGTCTGAGTGCTGCCTGCCTGTACACCGGCACACCAGAAGAGGGCGCTGGGTCCCATTTCAGATGACTTCACCACAGGGCACAGCCTCAGCCACCAGCATTGCCAACTCCGTACCATCCACTTCCTAGTCTGGTCTAGCTGTGTTCTTTCTCATGCCTGGATTACAATTTCTCCTTTCCTAGACTTTTTCTTCCACTACCCACATTAAATACACATTTTGTCCATGTCATCCCATCTTAATGTGCTATTAGCGGCCCTCCCCCACCCCCCACCCCCTTGTTGCCTGTGGCAGATGGGAGAGCTGGCCCTGCCCCTCACCAGCTGCAGCACTCAGGAGAGTGACCTCTGCTTCTCGCCTGGGCAACACAGTAGAGCTGCCCCAATGATGCAGGTGTCAGAGAGCTGACCCTGAGGTCATGAAAGGAGAACTGACCCCATGCCTTGCTGATCGCTGTAGGGGTGAACTAGCCGGGGCAGTGCTGGAGAGCTCCCCCTGGGTGAGGATGGAGGAGAGCTGGTGGGCTGACCAACCCTGCAACTACCCAGGCCCAGAAACAGGGTTATGAGGTGGCCCACCCCAACATCCACCCCATCTGTGATCTGCTGGAGCATGTGAAGGGGCTGGTCCTGCAGATCCAAAGCTCCAGGATCTCCATGACACAGGACAACAGCAGGATGTCCAAGGGGAGGCCCAGTGAGGACCAACTATCAATGGTATACCAGAAACCAGAGGTCTTGAACCAGACCAATGACTCTTTGCAATGAACACTTGCAAGTAAAGATATGGCTTATAGCCTCTGCACTCCCCCCCTGCAAATCCAAAGACACCTGGCTGTACTCCATGAGGCTATTTGGATGACTGGTAACCTCCCCCATCCCACTTGAATAAGGCTAGCAAGCCCTGTGCTTAGGAGAATAGGGTACTTAATTATCTTCCCTTAGGATTTAGACTTGAACTTTATGATATACACCGTGTGTATGCACTCAAATAAAAACTTGGGGCTGGCATGTGGGATATTCCTTTATATTGTGTGAATATATGTCACTGTGATTGGTTTAATAAAGAAGGTGACTGGCCTATAGCTATGCAGGATAAGGTTAGGCAGGAGAACCAGACTAAGAGAATGCTGGGAAGACGAAGGAGGAGGAGGAGTTTCAGAGTCATCAGACAGATGCAAAGGGAAGCAAGATGAACATGCTATGTTGAAAGACGGTATCACCACATCGCAGAGGGTAGATACAAAATATGGGTTAATTTAAGTTAATAACAAGCAAAAACTATCAGCTGAGCATTTATAATTAATATTAAGTCTCTGTGTGGTTATTTGGGAACTGACTGGAGGGACAGAAAAGTTCACCTACAAATGGTGTCCACCATTGGGCAACATAGATCCATATAGGACTCGAGAAATCTTTAAAAAAAAAAAAAAGGATTCTAAGGACACAAAAACGGAGCCAAACGCGGCTTCCTGGTATCCGCCTTTCCTTGGGTAGGCTCAATACTAGCAACAAACAGAGGCATGGCTCCAAAGAGGCAGCTTCCTTGGCTTGGTGTTAGTGGCGAACACAGGCCTGGCTCTAAAAGAGGCCCTGCTACTGAACACTACTGAATATTTAAATGGGGTTTATGAGCATTGAGCAGCACTACTCAGTGACAGAGTGACCCAACAACTTCCCAAGGCTGGAGCGATAAACATGGCTCCCACCGGTACCTCCACCACGAGGCTAAGCTCTCAGGGAACCAAGGGGGTAGGTATCAGCCAACAATGCCATGTGCCAATGCATGCACTAAGCTGAGCCGTGCCAGCAACTAAAATAGCAGTTTAAGATTCATCTCATGAAATCTAAGAACAATAGAGATGTAAAGACAGATCCAGACGGGAAAAACCACTAAACAGGTTACAATGTGCTTAAAAATATACATAGACTTGGGAGAGAGAAGAGAAAAGGAGTATATAGACATAAATTAAAAAATAGTTTAAAATAATAAAGTCCTTCAAAAAGGAGTAAAGTAAAACAAAAATTAAAAATAAAAAGCCATGTAAAGATGAGAAATACTTTAGTCTGGATCCTGTATGTTGTGTTGTCTTTAGATTTTCTGATTGCTTAGGAAGGAACAACAGCTGATAAAACACATTGGATTATGGGAACTGTTGGATTAAGCCAACCTATTTATTTAAAAAATGTCTGACTTCAAAATGGAAGACAAAAGATGTGTTATTTTGGGGAAGAGGTTATGCTTTTATTTCCACAGGAAATGAGAGGCTGTGGATTCATTTCAAGTTGATATGGATCAGGTTTGATCAAAGAAGACCCCCTGAAAATCCTGGCTGCAGAAATAAACCAGAAAAACTACAAGACATGTAATGTATATTTTACCTGCTCAAACATAAAACAAAAAAATCATCTTTGGCTGACTTTTGTACAGTGCACAGTCTATACTTGTATTAATACAGATATAAAGCCGGGCGGTGGTGGCGCACGCCTTTAATCCCAGCACTCGGGAGGCAGAGCCAGGCGGATCTCTGTGAGTTCGAGGCCAGCCTGGGCTACCAAGT